TGAGGTCGGCAGGCACAAAATTCCAGGCCCTCAAAATCCACTTGAGAACGACCGTGGGAGGCGGTTTGTTGATGTTGCCTGCACGAGGATCAAAGTAAGGGGAGAACATGTTAGAACATTAGGGCGGGGGAAACCAAGGAACTCACGGATGGTTATGAAACCGTGATGCTCACCTGCGACTGTCAAGATGTTCATGCCCTCTTGCTCGAACCAGGCCTGGTACTGCTGCTGCACTGATCCTTGAAGCTTTTGTTGATGGCCTCGTCGAGGGACTGCACCTCTGCCGTGCATCCCACCGGGATGACCGCGGGGACGATGTTGTACTGCGCGAATTTCTTCTTGACCTCGGGTGTCAGGTGTGGGGTGGGAAACCGCGGCACATAGCTGTTTTCACCTGGAATTCATGCACGACCCCACGTGATGTATGGTCGGCTGCATTCGCCTTACTGTGAGCTTCGATTTGGTACAGTTACAGTCAATTTCTTTTTTTACGTTTTACAACCACATGCGCTTATACATGTGACTCAATTATAAGCGCACCCACCTAAAAATCAATGTTTTATTATAAGCGCACCTGCGTTTATATCCGGTGTGATACGGTAGGAGTTACATCTGTGTGGCAGCTGACGTTAAAAGGACCGTTGTCATTGCACGTCCGAGATTGTCGGAAGTGTTTGTGGTGCGAGTTCCGTCGGCACGTGGTCGACAATAGCGCGCGATAAAATCGGAACAGCTGCGTGTGGCAAGTGGCGTCACGGCATCTTCGTCATGTTTCGCGAAGATTTCGGTGTAGCAACACGTGGAAAACGACTACTAGTTGAGCAAGCCAGTCGCATGGTGATTTGCGTCATAACAGGACACGGCCAGGAGAGGCGGCGTGGCGATTGCCTGAAGAAAGCAGGGGTCTATCGTCGTCCCGCCCGGGTGCAGCAGGTGTTGTTGCAGGAGGGTGCGTCGTGGGCGTTTTTCGGCAGGATCGTTGCAGTACAGTATGAGACGGAAGTCGTTCTTCAGACCACCGGAAAGTTCGGAAAAAGCCACCTACGACCAAACTATTCCGGTTTAGGTGACTACTATTTCTGGCACAATGATAAGCGGCAAAAATTTCGGTGCAACGGTGGCAGCCGATTCTACACTTCATGCGGCACAATTCCCTCCAGCCAGAGGTAGCTGTGTTTGCAGACAGCCCAGTACACCACGGAACAACGGTTCGGCGTAGCGTTTAGACCCGCGAATTCCGGGGGTTGTAGCGGTTACAATACATGGAGTTGTGTCTAATACTACTCCGGCGAGAGAAACGGGTTTCGGCTTCAGGAGGCGAGAAAAAGACCTATGGAGAAGACTTTTTGCTGAGGCCGGGTTTCGCGGCTAAGCGGCGGTAGCAGATCGAGCTACCTACCGGCCAAAAACTTACAACTGCTTACGTACCTCACACCAGGTGCCTCGAAGACCTGTTGGCCCTGGACGAATAAGGTGGGGCCCTGTGTTTAGCCCTGTGCTGGTAAAAAAGCGCGGGTTTTGCGTAAGTTTGAGAGCTGGGCGTGAAAGAAAAAGTTTCGAAGTGGCGCGTGGAGTGGCGCGATATTGTTTTGGCCCCCACAAAACCGGACCATCGGCAACAGGTACCCTAACGAAGTTGTTGAGTTTTAAGTGAGATAGACACGGTGGGCAGCAAGCGGCCGGATGTGCGTTTGATATGATAAACTCGCTCCGATTACATAAGCGACATGCCTTAACCAAACGTCATAAAAATCGTGGGCAACACAAAGTTATATCTCATCCGACAAAAGCGGACGCTGGGTGAACGGCGGCAAGCGAAATTGTCGGGGGGTGAAGACAAAAAAAAAAAAGATGGGAGGGAAAGTCGTGGGTGCTTTTTCAAGTTGTTTGGAGTGCAGTTAAGCCCGTGCACGAATTCTCCGCGTTTTTAGGGTCTATTTGGTGACGCCTGACGGTTTGAGTCTTACGTAAAAGAGGCGCGGCGAAAACGTGCATCGCCAAGGATACCTAGGATTTGCTACATGAATTTCCGGCAAGCGTGAAGATGGGTGATTGTCGAAACATCGCGAAAACGTCGGGGCCATTCGGTGGAAAAGACTTCGCGACTTGATTCAGCAACCGCAATTTTTGGGCTACATTCCTACAGTGGGAGATGGGTGAACGTCTGCTCGCCAAGTAATCTCGGCAGTTTACGGTGCACTTCGAAGCCATCTGGGGAAGTTCTACGGCAAGATCTGCGGCGTTGATGCGGGCTAGGTTCCGTGAAATTCGGTCCCAATAGACCCATAGTTTTGGGTTCCGCACGAGATGTTACACAATTTACTTGGGGTCTTGAAATATCTTCGCTCGTTTCTTACAGACTCGCGAACGGCATGCTATAACCATCTCGAATGTTCTTGAGCTGATAATGTGTGCATAGCGATTTTTGCGACATTACCACGATACATTGCATTCGCCATTCTTGCCAAATTTGGAAAGAAAATACCACGAAATGATGTCACGCTTGTCATGGAGGCACGTAGAATTCCCGAGGAGATTCAGCTTTGATCAGGCGGCGCGAACAATGCGTATCATAAGTAATCCAATCCCTATCCAACCCGATTCGATCTTTGCCCACGCTACTAACCACAGGCGATGAAAATGGCGACGGGTACGCTAGACACACCGGTTCTTTTCGAGGAATAACCTGCAGGTGACCAAAACGTAAGAGTGTTTTTTCGGCACCGACATTTTCGGGTACTACGAGAAGTACCGAGGACCAGTTTTACAAGAGTTTTGGCACCAACGGCTGACATTTCGTGCGAACAGTGGAGTTGCAGCGGCGCTTGATTAAGCGCGCGAAAATTGCCGTGTACCTCTTATAGCAGCAAAAGTGTGAAGCTGTTCGGGGATACCAGCGACAACACCAGGAGATTTGTGGCAATAGGTAGGGGGAACAAGCGACAACTGTTTTCGCCCCTGCCCAGAGGTTCTCGGCGAGTCACGACAACGTCGCCGTGGTAGCTGACGTCATCGGCAGTTCAAGTTGGACTAAAAAAAAAGGGCATTTATCTTAGCGGTAACACTCAAGAAGCTCGATCGCACACGAGGAAAGCTACGTGTCCATATCGTAACAGAGATGTCTTCTCATCGCCACCATGGTAACCATCATGCCGAGATCGTCAACATGATACTGACCGTCCACGTCTACCTCACAGAATGCGCATTTCTTTGTATAATAGCGGCGTTTACAATCCCCGACAGTAAAACCGCGATATGCTAACTCGTAATCAGTAACAAAAAAAATCAAAGACAAAAAACAAAAAAATCATTATCTATCAAACAAACGCCACAAAAAAAATACAAACACACAATGTCAAACTGCAAAGCTATTCTAGTGAAGAATATTTAGCAAAAGAATATTCTATCCTATCAAAATTATATTTCCAAACATTACGAATTGGAGCTAGACCTAGTTACCAAAATTTCAATATCAATTTGAACAATATTAATCTTGCATATGATAGACAATAAAAGTTGCAGATGATAACATTCTATTTATTTATGAAATCGTACATTCAAGGCATTATATAAAATATTTTTTACATAGTCAGGCTATATTTGTTTGTTTTTTTTTTTTCTGAGTGTCCGTAAGGGGCTTGCTATAATAATGATTATTAATTATATCGAATACGTGCACGTAACGTTTTGCGTTTGTAAGCGTTTGCTTACTAAACAGAATTGCGCATTCTGTGGGTGTATACGTGGACTGTCAGTTTCCTTTTTAATGAGTCAAACATGACTTGTACGGTGTATAGTTTGGTTGGAACGCGAAAGCTACCAGCCAGGATTTCCGGATGCACTGTTCATTACAATGCAGGCAATAATGTTAACCATCTCGGCATGATGGTTACCATAGTGGCGATGAGAAGACATCTCTATTACGATTTGGACACGTGGCTTACCTCGCGTGCAATTGATCTCCACGATTGTTACCGCTAAGATAAATTCCCAAAAAAAAGGTCAAGGGGAAGAACAATAGCCGTTTTTTGCCCCTGCCCGGAAATTTTTGGAGAATCATGACAAAGGCCTCTGCAAGTTACGACAAAGTCGATGGTGGTGCTGACGTCATCTTAACCTGAGTTCGCAGTTCTCGATGGAGTTTTCAAGAAGACAATCAGATTGTTACATAATCCGCCCTTCTCGTCGAACGTCGCTGATGCGCCAAAATGTCTTCGCTATTTTCGCGACGGTCTTCGACGATGAACTACACACAATCGGGAGTCACGACAGAAGAAATTTTGGATGGGTTCGGTTTTCAGAAAGCGACAAACACCTCGCGTCAACAACATGATTGCAGCGGCTGTCCGATGATTTGATGCTGAGACGCAGGGATTTTGGGGTGGCAGTCGCTGGAGATGCTGCAGCAGAAGTTGCGACTACAAGACAAGGAGAAAATTTCTTCATGAAATATTATTTCCAAGGGTTTCGAGTCCAGGCGCACAACGAATTACCCTAAAAAAGGACTTCGAGGTTGCCTCAAAGAATTTTAAAACCCGCAGCCTGAATTACAAAAAGTGTTTTGAGGTGTTAACACTTTCCGTTCCGAACCTGGGTGGTTACCAGGTGCCCAACCAGTAAGTTGGAGGGAAGTCGCACGCAACACAGGGAGGGTCGCAAGGGTCCCTGGCAGCGAGTTTGGCTGTGGGTGTGCACACCTAGAAGGTGTTTTGTAATTCAGGTCGACAGAAATCGGGGAGTTCCCACCTAGCTTACTATTAGCCTGGCGTTCTGCTTAAATCTGGAATTTCCTCTCCAACTAGAGCAGTCTCAATCGCGATCTTACCTCGTCGTGACGCACTCCTGTCATATTAGGGTTACTCCCTCCGTCGCCTACGCTCATCCCTCCCGTCGCGTAAACATTAGAGCGACCGTTTGCAACGCGAGCTTCCCTCCCGCCGCCTACGCTCTTTCCGCTCCATCGTGCCACGCTCGTCTTCACTCCTTCCCCCCCGTCGCCCATGCTCTCCCGTCGTCTTCGCTCACTCTCCTTCTGCCGCCCTTGCGCACTCCTTCCCGTCGAGTTCGCGAACTCAACCTCCGCTGCCAACCCGCACTCACTCCCGTCGCGCCCGCTCACTCCCCATCCGCCGCCCACACTCACTCCCTCTCGTCGCCCACGCTCACGCCCCATCCGCCGCCCACGATCACTCCCTCCCGTCGCGCCCGCTCACTCCCCTTCCGCCGCCCACACGCACTCCGTCCCGTCGTGTTCGTTCACTCCCCTTCCACCGCCCACCCCCCTCCCGTCGCCGCAGTCCCCTCCGTCGCACACGTCGCTTCCTCTCAATCGCAAACCTGAACTCCCCTCCGTCGCCCACGTTCACTCTCCCCCGTCGCCCACGCTCACTCCGACGGGAAGCGCGCTCATTCCCATTCCGTCGCGTTCGGCCCCATCCGTCGCCCACGCTCATCTCCCTGCCGTCACACACGCACGCACTCACCCCTCGACCGAGAAGGCATTCTCCGCTGCCGTCGCATACGCGTTCATCTCCCCGTCCCTCATCTCCCCATCCCTCATCTCCCCATCCCTCATCTCCCCATCCCCCATCTCCCCTTCCCCATCTCCTCAATCTGCCCCACCCCATTCCGCCCCACCCCTTTCTGCCATGCCATCTAACTTCTTATCCCCTTTTCCTCGTTTCCACATCCCTCCTTTCACCATCCCATCATTCCCTCCTCTCCCTCTACCCCCTCCTCTCATCCCTTTCTCTACTCCCTCTCCATTCCCTGGGGGGAGCGGCAGGGGCAGCTTTCCCCCGTCGCACACGCGCACTCCCCTCCGACGCATACGCTCTCTCCCCTCCCCGTCCATCACTTCTCTGGTCTTCCTCTCCCTCTTCCCTCTCCTCTCATCCCTTACCCTGCTCTCTCTCCTCTCTCTCCTCCCTTTCCACTCGCCCCGGGTCTCCCGCCGTGCTTCTCCCTCACCCCATTCCGCCTCTCCCCATTCCGCCCCACCCCATTCCGCCCCACCCCATACCGCCCCATCCCATACCGCCCCATCCCATTCCGCCCCATCCCATTCCGCCTCACCCGCCTCACCCCTTTCCGCTCCACCCCATTCCGCTCCACCCCATTCCTCTCCACCCCATTCCTCTCCACCCCATTCCTCTCCACCCCATTCCTCTCCACCCCATTCCTCTCCACCCCATTCCTCTCCACCCCATTCCTCTCCATCCCATTCCGCGCAAGCCCCCTTGTCGCGCACCCTACTTCCTTCCGTCTCCCCATCCCTCCTCGCCCCATCCCTCCTCGCCCCATCCCTCCTCTCCCCATCCCTCCTCTTACCGTCCGTCCTCTCCCCATCCCTCCTCTCCCTATCCGTCCTCTCCCCATCCCTCCTCTTACCATCCGTCCTCTCCCTATCCCACCCCTCCCTATCCGTCCTCTCCCTATCCGTCCTCTCCCTATCCGTCCTCTCCCTATCCGTCCTCTCCCTATCCGTCCTCTCCCCATCTGATCATCACTCCCTCCCTTCTTGCTTCCGCCCGCCCGCGCTCACTCTCTTCCCATTGCCCGCCCTCCTTCCCTTCTGTCAACCACGCTACGTCCCCTTCGTCGCTGATGTGCACTCCCCTTGAACGAGCACGCTCAATCCCCTCCCGCCCTGTCCTATCCCCTCATCCCACCCTGTCCACACCCCATCTCCTCCTCACCCCACCTCCTCCTCACCCCATCTCCTCCTCACCCCATCTCCTCCTCACCCCTCCTCCTCCACACCCCATCTCCTCCTCACCCCATCTCCTCCTCACCCCATCTCCTCCTCACCCCTCCTCCTCCACTCCCCATCTCCTCCTCACCCCATCTCCTCCTCACCCCATCTCCTCCTCACGTGTATTTTCCACAACAAATCTCCTCCACACCCCATTCCGCCTCACCACATTCCGCCTCACCCCATTCCGCCTCACCCCATTCCGCCACCCCATTCCGCCTCACCCCATTCCGCCTCACCTCATTCCGCCCCACCCCATTCCGCCTCACCCCATTCCGCCTCACCCCATTCCGCCTCACCCCATTCCGCCTCACCCCATTCCGCCTCACCCCATTCCGCCTCACCCCATTCCGCCTCACCCCATTCCGCCCCACCCCATTCCGCCCCACCCCATTCCGCCCCACCCTATTCCGCCCCACCCCATTCTGCCTCACCTCATTCCGCCCCACCCCATCCCACGACCTCCCCGTCACCTCCACCCCGTCCTCTCTCCTCCCTGCTTCTTCTCCTCCTTTTCACATCCTCTTCATTCCTCTTCCCCCGTCACCGCGTCCCCTCCTCTCCCCATCCCCTCCTCTCGCCGTCCCATCTTCTCCCCACCACCTCCCGTCCTCTCCACATCCCTCCACTTTCCATCCATCCTCTCCCCATCTCTCCTCTCCCCATCTCTCCTCTCCCCATCTCTCCTCTCCCCATCTCTCCTCTCCCCATCCGTCCTTTCCCCGTCCGCTCCTCTCCAACTCCTCTCCAGGTGTCTCCCACACAACTCTCGGCCCTGTGGCACCTTCTCATCCCTTGTGCTTTTCTGCACCTGTAGCTGCTTGGTGCCCTGTGGGCCAATGGCGGCGGGCAGAGTTGCGCAGAAGAGGTAGACGTGGTGCTGCTGGGGTGGCAGCCAATGGTTTGTCCGTCTGCCCACAGCGGACAAATGGTGTTGGAGGAAGGGCATGGTGTAATGGCAGATCCCTCCTGTCCTCCCAACCTCTCTATTCCTCTCACTCCCCTCCCGTCGCCCACGCTCCCTCCCCAGCCTCTCTTCCTCCCCTCCCTTCTGCTTCTCTCCCCCATGTCCTCGCCACTCTCCCTTCCCCCCATCATCACTACCTCCCTCCCTTCATTGCATTCCTCGCTTCCATCCTTCCTCCGTTCCTCCCTTTCTCCATTTTCTCCATTCCTCCCCTCATCATTTCTCAGTTGTCATTCTTTTGCATGCTTGCCTCCCTGCTACTTCAGCCACGTCACATCTGACTTCCTGGTTTGAGTTTGCGCAGGTCTTCTCTGCATCTGGTTGTGATGTGTTGGCTGTTTGATACAAAACAACGTATAGACATGCCATGTATTGGATAATTTAGTCTGTTATGGCGGTATGAGCTTCAGAGCAGTCATACACATGACCACTAACTAGGGGTCCAACAAATAATATACTAGTATTCTTTGTACGGTACAAGGGGAGTCACTCAAATTTATAAAATAACAAATCTGGGGGGAATGTAATGTTGCTTCCTGGTTTTGTCTCGTACACTGCAAACAATAAACCAGGCCGTGGTAAAGCCACAACATCTGGTGCTGGGCACCTGTACCCTGCATTGGGGGATATGGGGGTGAGTGAAGGGGAAAAGACAGTAAAAGGAGTGAGCAGAAGGGAAGAGAAGAAGCAGCGGGGAAACAGAGTGAGCAGAAGTGAAGAGAGTGAGCAAGGGGGAAGAGAGTGAGAAGAGAAGGGGGGTGGGGAGCAGTGGTGAAACAGAGTGAGCAAGGGTGAAACAGAGTGAGCAAGGGTGAAACAGAGTGAGCAAGGGTGAAACAGAGTGAGCAAGGGTGAAACAGAGTGAGCAACCCTACTCAAAGTGAGGAGGGGGGAAGAGAGTGAGCTGGTGGGAAGATAGTGAGCAGGGGGAAAGAGAGTGAGTAGTGGGGAATATACCGGTAGTGAGCAAGTTGGAAAAAGAGGAGGGGGAAGAGTGTGAGAAGGGCGAAAAAGAGGGAGCAAGGGGAAACAGATGGAGCAAGGGGAAACAGATGGAGCAAGGGGAAACAGATGGAGCAAGGGGAAACAGATGGAGCAAGGGGAAACAGATGGAGAGATAGACGTGGATTGCGAGGGGACGAGCGGGAGGGAGGGCGACGAGCGGCAGGGAGGGCGACGAGCGGCAGGGAGGGCGACGAGCGGCAGGGAGGGCGACGAGCGGCAGGGAGGGCGACGAGCGGCAGGGAGGGCGACGAGACGAAGGGGAGCAACGGGCGGAAGGGAGCGCGACGAGGGGAAGGAAGGGCGGAGGGCGGAAGGGAAGGCAACGGGAGGACGGGAGGGCGACGAGATGGGGCGACGGGCGGAAGGGAGCGCGACGAGGGGAAGGAAGGACGGCGGGCGGAAGAGCGGGTGACGGGCGGATGCGAGGGCGACGGGCGGAAGCGAGGGCGGCGGGCGGGGAAACGGCGAGGGGGACGGGCGAGGCGAGGGTGGTAGGCGGGGAAAGCGAGAGCGACTGGCGGGGGAAGCGATCGCGATGGGCGAGGGAAGCGAGGTCGACGGTCGGCTAGGCGGCGAGGGCGACGGGCGGTGGGCGGGGAAAGCAAGGGCGATGGGCGAGGGGTCGCGAGGTGGGCAAAGCGCTACTTTCTCATCTCCTCACGCCTATTCTCTGTGCTTCGATTGCGTGGCCACGCAGCACCTAGGGATTCCGGTTGTGGGAAATGTGTTCGCTATAAAACCCTAACGTAAGAATGTTCGCGCAATGTAGCTACTGAATTTGTGTGCTGCCGCTTGGAGGAAACTAAGATTCGACCCTTTCGTGTCTAAGTTTTAGCTAGTAATGGTGTGCTGGTTTTTTGCCGACGGAGGTTCTGTAGGTCACATCCCTTCCCATGGTATTGGTTTCCGTCGCCCAGATTCAATGTTGCAACACTTGTGTGTTCGCAAGTTGGTTTCGCCACCCGAAAGTGTCACCCACCCACCCGAACCTCTCCCCAACCTCTTCCCAAACCAAGCGTTGACTCGTTTTTGTAATTCAGGCTGCGGGTTTTAACAGGTCAAGACAACTACCGACAACAATTTCGACAGTGCAGCTGCTACAATTTCAGACGGGGTTCAACACTTGGTGTTTTTGAATACCGTCGGCGTCAGGGTGATAGGAGTTTCGTGCCCATGCAGCTGCACTACATTGGGAGTCTACCTTGTTCTTCAAGGGGGGAAGAAAGAGTGCACTCGCACTGTACTGTACTTTTCAGTTCTGACATTTTTGTCAGACTCGAGCGGCACGATGAACGTCCGCGATAAAATTCCTCGACATCGACTTTTCTTGATGCATCGACCTCTGACAGCGCGTCAGAATTTCCGCCAACATAGCATCCATCTCTACTGTCCGACACACATCCGCCACATCTACGGCTTTCATTCATCGGCGATTTTATCTGGACATTCGATCGCAATCGTCCGATCAATATCGACGGCTGACATTCCAACTCATTTCAAATTCGCTTGGTCAATGGGTCAGCCATGCGTCAATTTGACGGTCAACGCCTTTCTTAGCCGTCAGATCCGACTTCAATCGAGATCGGCAGTTTTCACGCTACTACAAGACTCAGCTACATATAAGGGGACCTTGTTCAGAAGGTGGGAGAGTGTAACGAATATACATTTTTATACTGTAGAGGTGTCCTTAGCGAGGACAGCCCCGAGCAGTTCGCGTCAGTGTGGCTCGGCCTACAGTTTCTGCCAGAACCACTTCCGACTTGCTCCGCACCAATCGCGACACTTCCGACCCAAGCATGTCACGAGGTCCTAGCCTAGCTAGTTTTCGCCCTATTTTTGCTCGCTTTCTTAAATGTTTCTTGATTCTGTAATCGCTTCCACTTAATAGTATTCTTTCGCGTACTCTGATAGTACACCTCATCACTAACCAACTCTTAACAACCACTTTCAGTTGGATTCTTCAATGTTTGTGACATACCTTATCACCCCGGATATAATTGCACCTGCGCTTATAATAGAACAGTGTTTTTTAGGGGGGTGCGCTTCTTATTGAGTCAAAATTATAAGCGCATGCGCTTATGGAATGACAAATACGTAAATACAAATAAAAGCGCCAAATTGTACATCCCGTTTTTCCAAATTTAATCGAGTCGAAATCTTAGAGGGTCAGAAATCAGAATCTCGGATGGGCAATTCCGTATCGGCGCACCACTGTCAAGGAACGCCATTTTGCAGGCGTGCCAGATCATCGTGAATGGACCGCATCCAGTGAGGGCCTCGAGAGTCAAATGAAGCGGAAAATCGAATTTGACTCGCTCAAATTTGCAACGCGTTACTGTTTTAGACACGATTTAGAAGGAAATATATATATGCGCTTATAATAAATCAGTGTTTTACAGGGGGTGCGCTTATAATAAATCGGTCGTAAGCGCAGTGGTCCGGATATAAGCGCATGCGCGTATCATAGGCCTACGCATGAGTGTGTGTGTGTGTGTGTGTGTGTGTGTGTGTGTGTGTGTGTGTGTGTGTGTGTGTGTGTGTGTGTGTGTGTGTGTGTGTGTGTGTGTGTGTGTTGTGTGTGTGTGTGTGTGTGTGTGTGTGTGTGTGTGTGTGTGTGTGTGTGTGTGTGTGTGTGTGTGTGTGTGTGTGTGTGTGTGTGTGTGTGTATGTGTGTGTGTGTATGTGTGTGTGTGTGTATGTGTGTGTGTGTGTATGTGTGTGTGTGTGTGTTTATGTTTATATATATATCTATATGTTTGTATATATAGTTTATGTATATACATGTGTATGTGGGTGTATATGTGTGTGTGTATGTTTGTGTCCATATGGTTGTATATGTGCCTATGTCTTTGTGTCTCTATGTGTGTATTTGTGTTTGTTTGTCTGTCTGTCTATTT